ACCATATTTAACAAAGCCAAACTAATTAACCATTTTAATAGATAAGTATTTATATCTTTAATATTAAAAAATAAAACATGTTATTTTTCAATTTTTCAAAATGAGTGGATTATATTAACAATTTTTCAAAAGTTTACAAAAGTCTTGAACCCTAAGATCCCCTAACTCTCGGTCTCGGCCATTAGTTATTAGTTAATTTATATATTATGGAGAATAATTCACTTATGTATAAATTTTATATATTATATTTATATAAAATTTTAATACTTTATTTTTTTATTTTTTTATTTTTAAATTTATCATAATTTTTTAAATAAAAATAATTATTTTAATAAATATAAATAAATTCTAACTATGAAAAATAAAATATCTATTTAAATAAATAAATATTAGATATACCCATACCCAATACTCATACCTTGTTCCTTCAGCCTGGAGTAAAGCCAATGCACTATATCATTAGCACACCAATCAAATTGAAGATTGGCACCCACAATCACGGTCACAATTACGACCAGATACAATGGATATTTCAAAAAGCAATATATATATAGGTCCTGTACAAAAGTCTCAATTTTGGATCCAGTTCTAAGGCCTGCTCCCTGTTGAGGATGGAGTCGAAAATTGAATTTAGATTCCAAAATAAAAACTATATTTGCAATAAAAAAATCGTGCAGGTGATCCTTGTGGGTGACAACCCAACCTGTTCAATGGGACTGTTAAGAGGTAAAGTAATTGTGGGTAATTCATGAATTACTTGAATTAAATTCTATTCAAGTTGGATTTATTTAATAAATAAGTCGAACTTCATTTTAATATTAAATTCGATAAAACAATGAGTTTAAATTTGTAATTTCAATATTATTTGTAAGCTATACACGATTATTTAGTTTAGAATTAAAAATAATATTATATTATATTATTTAATAAATTTAAATATACAATATTTTATAAACTTAAAAAAATTGAGAATATAACTTAAATAAGTTATATATTTTGAACTATAAGTACTAATAAAAATATTCAAATAGAGTTTTTGATTGTTTTTTATTTTTATGATTAGATTTAATATGTTCAAACTTTTAATACTATAATATTTTTAAACATGTAAAAAAGTTTATGATTAAATAATTAATTATTAAAATATTTTAAAATTACAAAAAAAAAATCCTCAAATTCATATTAAGGTATG